GGCCATTTTAACAAAAAAGCGAGTAAAAAACAGAACAACTTTATCTGTGATTGCGAACAGAACGAAAATCGAGATTAAAGAAAAACAACAACGAACTACAATAGCAGAGAACGTTCCAAGTTGCAACTATTGTGCTGCTACAATAGTTGCAAGGCCGTTGCCAACAACGGTGAAGGGTGAGAACCAGCCTTCCGGATTGGTGTGAAATTGAACTTAAGGAGCTTGATTCACTGGATTCAAGAATCCGGAAGGGTTTCGGGACTGGAACTTTTAGCCTTTTATATAAACTTTTAGCTTCTTGTCATGTCCTGAATTGAATTTAATTAACGACTGGATTCATTTTGATAAGGATGAGAAGCTAGGAGTTGGGGGAAAGGGTTGATCATCCATCTTCGATGGAGATGATGATTTTTATCTACTGAACAAAAACAATAGTAATATAATAAGTAGTAGCCCTGTTTTTAGGAGTGACCTCGTGGTCTGGGGATACTGAGACCCAGCCATGAGCTCACTATTTTTGCATGTAATTCAGTTAATTTGAGCGTTCTGGTCGAAGCCGGAGAACAGTAACGTTTTTGTCGACCCGATGTTGGAAAAGACCACCGAAAAGTACTGGCTTGGTAGAGACGGTGAAAAACATGCAAAGCTCTGTTTAGACGCTAGCCAGTCGTCTTACGACTTAGTTTTGTTATCCGTCGATATGTATCTTCCGGGCGAATGTTACATAAAATGATTTTGGCAAAATAGTGTCCTTATAGTTTTTTCGGGGAGCTCGGGAAATCAAATTGGTCACCCTTAAAAAAATGATCAGCTTAACTTCAAGATTTTGTGAAAAACCGCTCCCACTGGTCGAAGCAGACAATTTGGGTCGGGTCGGTCGAAACATATCGAGCCAGGATCGAGTTTTTCGAAACATCAATTGCGAACCTCGATCCCAGGCGTGCAAAACCGCATAACTTTGGTCCGCACAGCGCTCTTATAGTTACGTTACCCTCACCGAGCGCCGATGGACCATAATCGATTATATTGTCATAATATGGTCACTAACTATAAACTTACAAAAAAAATTGATTATAATGCATTGAAATTGGATTATAATCATAATATTTTTATGCCAGTATAATCCATTATAATCAATTTTAATCGATTATATAGGATTTTTTGAGGCGTCATTTATGAAATTTATAAGTTTTTTCAAAGTTATTGTAATTCCTGTTTAGTGCAGTTGCTACGTACATTTCATAAAATGTTACATTTCACATTAAAACTTATGTGTTTATTTGTTTTATATATTCTGATTGAACCCCGCAGTTTACTTTTGCCCACCCCCCACCCAGTTTACTTTACCCGTCACCCCTTCCAGTAAACTTTACCCCACCCCCCAAGCTGCAAACCGCCCCCTTCCACTTTAGCTTCCACTTTTAAAACATTTCACATTAAAACTTACAATTTTTTGTCCTTTATATTCTGATTGAACCCCCCAGTTTACTTTAGCCCCCCTCCCTCGTTTACTTTACCCCCCTTCCAGTTTACTTAACTCCCCTCCCCCAGTTTACCTTGCACCCGTTTATTTTACCCCCCCCCTCATTTACATCCCCCTGCCAGTTTACCACAACTGCCATTTGCCCCCCCCCCCCCCCCTCTCATAGTTGAACACGGGAGGGTTGTTTATTGGATGATTTTGAGGAGGCGGTTACTGAGTGACACCCCCCAATTTACCGCCCCTCTTTAGTTGGAGGCAGGTAAAAAACTTGAGCGGTTGATGTTGAGACATAGCGTTTAGTAAAAGGCATAGCAAACTTTTTGCAAGTTTCCTTCAAAATTTGCAAAATTTCTGCACAATTAATCGAAGTTAGTTCTAAGAATAAAATGGATTATAAGCAATTATAATGGATAATAAGGGATTATCTTGGCGAAAAAGACCGATTTCAGTGCCAAAATTAATGGATTATAGTCTATTTCAATGGATTATAATAGATTATTTCTTTTTCAAAAATAATCGATTATATTGGCAGCATAATCGATTTCGTGGTCTGACTTTTACACCTGTTTTGTATTATAATGGATTATTTTTGTCTCGGAAATCCATTATAATTGATTAGAATCTATGGGCGCTCGGTGCGGGTAGTCTAATATTCAGCGTTTCACATCAATCTTTGAGAAAGGACAGTCTAGTAGTGAGTGCGCCGTTCTGGGACTATGAAGTCTCTGGATCGATCCACCGATGGAAACATTTTCAAGAACTGTTCTGATTAAAAAAAACCCAGAGCATATATATATATATATATATATATATATATATATATATATATATATATATATATATATATATATATCCCTTGCTTTCTTCTAACCAAAATGCTCCAATCCTGCAGCAAATTGATTGAAGTAAAAACATAACCATTCCTCGGAACTTAAATTCGTTTTGGAACTTTTTTTTTCCTTCGTCTCCCCGACTTCCACACTCTTCCAATTTTTGCAATTACTATGATTTAAAAAAGACGTGGAAGTCTGCGAGCTTGTTCTGCTAAGCAGGTCTGACTGGATTGGTCTCGCCAGGCAAATGCAAATGTTTTGAAAGTATGTTTTAGAGAATAGACCCTGGGGTTTATTAAAAATTTACGTAGTTCTTATAAAGTCAACTCCAAAAATTTTGCAACTTTCCCCCGAAAATTTGGATAAATATCTCTTTGATAAAGTTTCATTAGTCGGAAACTCGTTCTATTAAAAAATCAACCTGTGCTCTAAATTGACGCAGCCAAAAAAATTTCATGCATCAATATCAATATTTTGACTTGGATGCCATGAATAGTTCAACTGCCTTTTCAAGTCTTTGATAATTTTTTATCTAAGAAAAAATTGGTAATAAAATCGTTAGTAAAATATTTGAATATTTATCAAATATTTTTACTAACCCCAGCAAACTATGGATAGTAAAAAAGTGGTTCATTTAGCTAGCGTGTAGTATTTTCTTGGTCAGACCAAAAAACTTCCCTCAATTCTTGTTTCAGAATAATTTCATGGCCGGATTAATATTACATTGTATACTTTAAAAAGCCGAAATTATTTGGACAATTTGCACAAAAGCATTCACACGGCATATCGAGATGTCATGAATGTCAATTTAATTTCGTCGCTTTGGTGAATCATAAGTTATACTCAGTGATTATAACAAACCACATTTGAGAATGATTATGCCATAGTTTGTCAACTAGGGAAACGAACATCATAAAAGTTGTTCAGCTCCAAGTCAAGAAACACCATTTTGCATGTAATCGGCAACTTCATCCATTCATTGTCGGTTTTTATGAACTAGGTAAATTTCCGACCTCCTCAAGCAACGAATTGTAAAAAAAGCGTCTCGCGCACCATTTGTTAGTAACTAAACGATAGAAGTTTTAACTACACCTTCATTACGCCGACTAATTTCTAACTTGACCAAGATTATATCGACAACTCACAAGCAAATGCGAATAAAAACACTTCTCAAATAATTTCCTGTGTAAGATATGAAATGCATTAAATCAACTACATAAATGGACTGTGGAAGCTTATAATTTTTTGCTTGTCAACCCTTTCTCACGCTATGAAAAGTTTGAACATAATCGAATTGTTTTTTTTAAAAAAAGAACAATTTTTTTTTCGAATTTGTATTTTTTTTCTGCAATGAAAAAAATTACGGCACATTCTATGTTACTTATATGTGTCAACTCTTGTTTCGGAATTGGCCAGATACATCCCTTTGTGACTAAAATAGCGAGTGGGAATAATTTTTTTCTAATATCATTCCACAATTTTTTTTCGATTACTTTATCAATATTTAAACCAAAAACTTTTGAATTGGTCTTGAAGAGCAGTCGGAAAGTTTCTGATATACGAGCAATCTTGTTTACCTATTAGAGCAGATTCTTATTTTGGTTTTTGAAAGAAGGCGGAATATATATCCTTGGGGTTGCTATTACAGTTTTCACTTTGTTGTCTAAGCATTTCTTATACCATCTGAAAAGTATTACTGTCTGAAGCTCAAATGTAAAAGATAACTTTGCCTGATATCATTTTTTGCTATGTTGTGGGGTCAATTTTTGGCTATTAGTCAATATCATGTAATTTTCTAGGCTTTTTTGATGAACGTTTTTTATATCATCCATTACGAGGCCAAACTGCTGTGTATTTCCTGAATTGAAAGCGGATTCCGCATCAAGGACGCTATCTTTTGTTTTTCTTATGTTCTTTCATTTCCTTTGATTGTTCCGAGTTTGAAGATTTGAATTTCAGAGGCCTACAATCACCAAACTATCCAGTACACAGTTTGGCCTCGTGATATCTGAAAAATACTTTTCTCTGAAGCTCATATGTTAAAGAAAACTGTTATGATTTTCGTTAAATTGTGGGGGTTTGAAAGTTGCTAATTTGACTAATTTGGGATAATCAACGCGCAATATTTTGAGTTCTCACATAACACGCGTAAGCGGCAAATTAGTGCGTTGCAATTTGAGGCAGGTCATTTGCTGTTTTTATTAGGACAAGATATGTTAAATTAATCTCTTTGTAGCTTAAATTAGCCCGCGAGGGATAAATTTAAAAAAATGAAATAAAATTTTTCGATTGTTTTCGTCAATATGAAAACGCAAAAGCTTTGTATTTTGCCTTAAAGTGCAATCGGAACATTCAGGACTTCACCCTGATATACTCGGTTTCGATTTGTTTGTTTGTTTTAGGCTGAAACAATGGAGTGCTTTTTGATGGTCCTTTGAAAGCTTTTTCAGCACAAAAAACCGTCATCACATTTGGTTAATTTTACACAAAACGCATGGCGTTCATATGCTGTAAAAATTGATATGATACGACCAAAAATTAAACACGCCACCGTGTTTGGACGGCCGCTTAACTTTTCAGACCTGCTGCTTTAAATCCAATTAAATTCTGGCAAAAAGTACCAATTGAAAATTTTAATTTGTATTAACTTCGCCGCTTGAATCTCCACACAAAAGGTAAACCACTTTCTAAATAGCTAAACTGGCTGCTGCTAACTCAACTATTATATCTCTTTGGTTATATCGCCGTCTTTCTATTGATTAAAATTATGTGAGCTTTTATTTACGGTTTCTTTCGAGTTTAACGCCGTCATTGTTCTACCCATTAATGAAAATCTTCTTTTTCTAAATTTCCTTAAAAATGTCCCGAATTCCTGTAATGTCCCCGGAGTTTTCCCAAGGTGGTCATACGCCAAGATCTCACCGATCCAGGCTGACTAACTCCAGCGTTTCGCCGGTCACTGACCGAAGTTCCTCACACGCTTCGCCGCCGTCGCAAAAACTGGTCATGCCCGGGGCTCGAACTCGTATCACTAGATCTGAAGATCCCAAATCAGATACAGCAATGTTGACAGTTCCACGTTCTCGAAAAGACAACTCGGTCAGTCCAGGAGCTTCAAGAACCCGAATAGCAAAACCGGTTCCATCGTCTAGCAAATCACAAGTAGCGTCCACGAGCAAATCGCCCGCACGTTCCGAGTCGAGCCCACGAGGCAAAACTAAAGAAGTAGTTGGAGGTTCGAATCCCGGTGTGCTTTACATCACTGAAAAGTTACTCTTCAAAATAACTCAAGTAGAGTATCTTCATCGTGTTACAGAATTGAACTTGAGTATAAAAAGTCCGAAAAAGATCAAGTTTATAGAAAAACTAGACGCATTGTACAATTTGAAGAAACTTAACTTGAGCAATAATATAATCGAAAAAATAGCTGGGTTGGAAAAATTGAAGAAATTAGAGCAATTGGATTTATCGAACAATCTGATTAGTCTAGTTGGGGAAACTTTGGAAAACTTAGGTTTGCTTCACGAATTGAATCTTCGAGGAAATAAAATAACTACACTGCCTAAACAGTTTGGGAAAGGGTTGGTGTCTCTGAGATCCCTGGACATTTCAGCAAATCAGATTGCAAATTTGAAATCAGTTGCAAGTTTGGAAAACTTGCCTAATTTGGCTGCCCTAGGTTTGAATGAGAACCCATTTTGTTCGACTGATGAGTTTTGGGAGATTCTGATAACCTATAGGATCCCGACCTTGGCGAATCTCGACGGTCGAGTCGTGACTTCTGAAGATCATCGCAAAGCGCACGAGCGGTTCGGTCGAATGGAGTCGGATAAACTAAACGAACAGCTCAGAAAAACAAGCGACGAGCTGATAAATGAAAAAGCTCTTGAAAGTCAACTACGCGCTCAAAATCAGAAACTCATAGCTGAGAACAAAAAGTTACTGGATGTCAAATCTGACAGTAAGAAACGACTAACCCAACTGGAGCGAGATACGGAAAACAACAATCAACTTCTAGCAAGGAAAGCTAAAGAAGTGAACAAACTAGTCGACAAGAACTATGAGTTGGAACAAGAACTGGCATTTTTCAAAATCGACAAAAAGTTTGGAAACGCTGGCAGCTTTTCGGACTTAACAGCGCCTGATAATTCAGATCTAAGTGAGGACATGCCTTACATAGGACGCGCAACGGCAATGACGCCGCAGAAAAGGCCAAAGAAATTGAACTTGCAAGAAAACGGAATGAGAAGCCGTTCTAACGAGTTGGTTGAGCTAAATAATCACAACGCGGATGACGATACTTCGGCAGCTTCAATTCCAGAGATAATCACGCCGAGAACTCCAACTGTTCGTTTCCAGGAAATCAAGGAACAAATGAAGCAGTCTGAGACTCAACTAAACTCAGCTCAGAAGAACCTGACACAGGCTGAAAATGACGGAAATCAGTCTCCGTATTTCAGAAACAGAGAATTGCCACCTTATGCAGACAAACTCAGCCCGAACTACCTGCCAGGTCCAAAGACTGGCTATCGGGGCTTCGTAGAAAACAAAGGCGAGCTTCCTTGGCGGGTTGAAAAACCCACTGAAAATGAAAAAAGAGGAACCAGTTCTCGCGATAATTCTCAAAACACAAATGGCGTGAAACAAAACAGTGAATCGGATTCGATTAGTGCAGGTGTGAAAAAAGACGATCGAGATGTGAACAAAAAGTCAAAGCCGAATGACAAAAATGCGGACAAGACCGACTCGTCAATGACGAGCGAGCTGAGTATAAACCCGAAGCCAATTCTGGACGACGCAATAGTGAAATATCGAAGCCTGCAGCAAGAATTAGATCAAATGCTCAAAATGGTGAGAAATGAAACAGCAACTGTTATGGGACTGGAACGTCAGCTAAACATTGCACCACCTCCTGATTTAGTTCATTGTGACGGAAATTTTCCTCAGACAATTGACATTCAAGGTAAGTTTCCAGTACCTTTGCTGCCAAATGGCGCCAGAAATGACTTTATTGGACCAAATATTACATACATGAATCCGAGTCCGACTAGTGGTTGGGAAAATTATGGGTTTGATCAGGAAGGTTCTGGTTTCATACACCCACAGACTAGATCGCCCAACATTCCAAAGCCCAAAAATCCAGCTTTGATTCAAAACGATGAACTGAAAGTCGAACTGTCGACGATGGCAGAAAGTGTATGTGAATACATGACAAACCTTCGCAAAGAAATTGCTCGTCTACACAATGTGAATAACTGCTTGGAAAACAACCTTGAAGTTTCTGTCACACGTGAAAAAGCAAACGACAGCAAAATCGTAAGAATTCAGGATTTGTTCATTCGGTTGGAGCATTTCTTGACGTCATTGAAAGTTTTGTTTGAAGATATGAAACAACTGGAACTGAAAAATAGGGATTTGAAAGTTATTCTGGATAATTATCCGGATCAAGAAACACTCTCGTCTTGGAAAGAAAACAGCGACCAGCTACCGATGGCAAAACAAGTTGCGAAAAAAATGCAAGGAGAAATTATTAGACTCCAACACGAAGCAAACAAACAATCTCAGATTGACCAAAAATTGAGACACGAAATGAAACTACAAAACGAACGGGCGTCGAAATCTGACGATGAAAATCAAAAATTAAGAGTTGAACTTGATGAAATGGTTGCAAAACACAGAACTTCAGCTGATGAATTGACAATAGTCCAAAAAAACTTCAGCGAATATATTGAAAACTCTATAAAACCAGAAGACTTACAACGGCATGTCCAAGTTTTAGCCAAGGGAACTTCCAACTTCTCGCAAATGGAATCTATTCAAATGATTCATCAAAATGATATATCAGGTCGAATTTTAAAAGACTATCAACTTGTTTTGAACTCAAAAATTCACGAAATGCAAACTAAAATTAATGCTGCTGAAAATAGAGAGCAAGAAGTGAACAAAAAACTGATAGCCGAAACTCAGGAAAACGAAGAACTGAAAAAATCAGTCGGCCAAACGAGGAAAGAGTATTCCGAAAGGCGAGAAACAGACCGAAAGGAAATTGAATTTAAAATAAAACAGTGGAAAAAAGAAATCAAGTCTTTAACTGACAATCTGCAAAAAGAGAAAAGCAATTCTCAGAATCAACTCGAAAAGTTTGAAATCACACGAGGAAAATTGAAGGAGAAAATTGATATTCTCGAACGAGAATTGTTGATTTACGATTCGGAAATTAGTCAAACTCACGACACGCAAAGAAAGGAAAAAAGCCGATTTGATCGAGCGGTTGAATCGTTCCAGCAAAACGAGAAGAACTCGAAAGATCAAGTTGAAAATTTGCAAAAAGAAATCAAAAAGTTACAAAAGTTAGATTCTCAACAAAAAGAAGACTCTATTGCAGAGAAACAAGAAATGGAACAAGAAATTTCCAATTTGAAAGCTGAAGTTTCAAAACTGAACAAGAAGTTATCATCTAATGAAAATGAGTGGAAAACCAACAAAGAAAGTAACTCGGTATTGAAAAAATCGCTGACAAAATTGCAAATTGAAAACCAAGAACTTGAACATGACTACACAGAAATGACCCAAGAAAACGAAAGTTTGAAGTTTCAGAATAAGATAACCGCTGAAAACTCAGAAAAGTTTTACGAAACAGAAATCCAAAAATTGGGCCAAATTATTTCGGCATTAGAGCTCAAAATTTGGTCTCTTACGAAAGAAAAAGAAGCCCTGAATTCTCAACTTTTAGAGAAAAGACATTTGATCCAAAATCAGCAATTGCAATCACAAACTGCCGAAGAGAGAATCCGAAAAGAATTTTCTATTGAAATTGAAAACTTGGAGGAAAAACTAGATGAAAAAGATCAACTACTTCACAACTCAGTAAATTTTGCTGAAAAACTTGAAAATCTGGAAAACGTGACGAAAGAAAAAGAAACAAAATTGCAAAACCTCGAAGAAAAACTTGCAAAAACTGAGCAAAAATTTAGAAATATTGACCAAAACTGGTCTGAGTTGAAGAAAGTTGCATTGCAGCAAAACGGCGTCGGAGAAATTGTGAGCTTTCTTGAAGGACGAACTTCAAATTTTGTCTTGACTGAAAATATGAGAAAAAATCTGGTTGAAATAAACGAGCGAAGAGCCGAGAGTGAACAGCTTAGTCGGAATATATCCGAGAAGAAATTAGAATACGAGTACATAAAACGGAAAACTGAAGAATTATATACTGAAATTTCCAGAGCGGAGGGTAAAAAAGCCAAGACAGAGGATCAACTGGAAATCATGAAACAATTGTTGGCCGCTTCTCAGTGGCAAGTGAAAGAGTATTCCCAGATGGCTAATAATTTGTACCGCTAATTGCAATTCACCACTAAAATATAATTTTGGTATTTAAATAGTACAAGATATTGAAATATTGAAAGAGGATTTTTTATTTCGGTTTACACGCTAACATTTGCTGCTATAAGCAACTCTTTATTTTTCCTGGAATTTTTTGAATGAAGGTTGGGGGCGAACAAAAATTTATGTAATTAACTTGCTCAGTTTTTCGTCCGAAACTTTCCCTGAACAAAAATTCTCGTCTGAGGGCCAGAGTCTGAAAGCTATAAGGTTTTAGTTTAAAAATTTAACGTTTTTGGTTGCATTTTAGAACAAAGGCTCCAAACCAAAGTTTATGTGAAACTACAGAAAACAAATTTTGTATTGAAGTCCACGCCAATTACTTGATTGTGCATCCGCGCCAATTACTTGATTCTGCAATTACTTGATTCAGTTCTCTCATCACACCACATGAGTAGTATTTTAAGGAAGTCTTTTTTGGCCGACCAATCCAAAAGAGCGCTGCCGAATTCTGAAAAAAAATTGCTACTGTAAAGATAACTGTCATACCGGAAGGTATGATCGCTATTGATATTGAATCCGAACGGATTGGTAAACTATGAATAGCTCTAACTGAGAGCACAAATAAAACAACTTGTTCATAAAGTATTTATTTATGGTCTGACATGCATATCATAATGTTAATCGTTTAGAACATAATTCAAGGTCATCTGACCAGCTCAACTCAGTGAGCTTGTAAGAACATATATATATTCTCCCTCATGAAATATAAAAAATTTGAAATTTCTAGGAGTTTTAGGTCCCAATAGGACCGGAGTTCTTACGTCCCGTCAGGACGGTGTTGAGTTTTGAAGTCCCTAAAAGGACTATATGGTTATTTTTCTTTCTCTGTTTGCTGTGCGCCGGCTTCGATTTCCTGGTCATCTTTGTTGTGCTTCTCTTGGTGTTCTTCGAGTTCGTCTCTTCTGTCGTCGGGTTCTACGTTTGTGAGTTTCTGGTTTTGAATATTCGTGACGACAAGAACCCCCATAATTTGTGTTTTCTGTGGACTCTCTACAGGAGACACCAAATCGACAATTTCTGTTGTCTGATTGTCTTCTTCTTTGCTTTTCGGTCGTATGGCCTCCAGAAATTGGACACAAGCTTTGTTTTCTGGCAATTTCTCATGAAAACCTATTTCAGAGATAAGGCTTTTGAGGTTAGGTCGGGGGTTGATATTGTTGTTCTCTGGTCGTGGCAGCTTTTTGGTGTCTTGTCCGTCGGCAATTCGATTGAATTTTTTGTTGCTGGTGATTGTACCATCTTTCCAATTGCGTTTATCGGGACCGGGTTTCCCAGTGCCCCGGCGAGATTTGACTGTCTGACCCGATCCGATTTTCTTTTGGTGGTTGTTGCTTGGCGTTTTCCGGTGTGTTCTTTTTGTTCAACTGATTCGGTGGTGGTGCCATATTCTCCGAAGTGGATGACCCCGAGTCGCTTGATGATACTGATGTGGGGTTTTCCGATCTTCGTGTTTCCGACTGGACTTCATTCCCCTTGTTGGCGTCGGTGGTGCCGGCTTTCCCCCTCATCTTTTCCCTGTAGCTTATCTTTTCATCGGACTGCTTTGTAGTTCTTTCCGAGTGAGCTTCACTGGGAGTCCCGGTATGTCTTCCCGGAACATTGGGTGTCGTGGCGCGTTTGGTTTTTCGATATCTAAAAAACGCAAGCAGGGTCCTGTACTCCGAGCGGATTTATATGCCAGATAGTCGCTAAGTCTTGATTTTCGACATGGACCGTAAAATAAAAGGTTAGGTACAAATGCAAAACCACTATTTGTTGGCAATCTCGGCTTAGCAATCTCTTAGTGGATCATATCCCAAACCCATTCATCCTCTCGGTCTCCGCAGTCTGCTCGTGATGCAAGTTCCTTCCACTAAGTCAGCGTGGAATCGTTTTGAAGATTAATTTTTTGTTGTGTACGGCAAATAAAATTGTATCGTTCGGATGCAATAACTCTTTGTGCGATGAAAATATCTTCTAACGCTCGTTGTTGTTGTAGATTGTATGCTTAATCCTGCACATTTTTGTTTAACCTACCTTTGGCCTTCGGTGCCTAAACAAAGAATAAGTATCTTTGCACTTTCGCATCTGCTTTATCCCATAGTACTGAGTTGCACAAAACGCCCTTTTCACGGGCTTTCAGGCATCAAGTTTCCCACCGGACCCGTTTTTTATGGTTTCTAACTTCTCTGTTTTTCCATTGTGCATCATTTTCCACTGTTATTTCGACTACAAAAACTGGTTCTGTTGGATCGACGAGTTCCGATTCGTCACTTCATTAATTTCGATTTTCGATCCTGTCTTTTCAAAAAACTGCACTTTTAACAATTGCTGCCCACTTTGACCATTCTAATGGCGGTTCTGCTGAAGCTGTTTCCAAAAATGGATTAAAGCTAAGTGCGTTTTTTGTAAAACCTGCTGGCTGCGCCATGTCATGGTGGAAGGTATGATCGCTATTGATGTTGAATCAGAGTGGATTGGTGAACTATGAATAGCTCTAACTGAGAGCACAAATAAAAAGACTTGTTCGTAAAATTTTATTTATATTCTGACATGCATATCTTAACGTTAATCGCGTAGAACATAAGTCAAGGTAATCTGACCAACTCAGCGCAGTGAGCACATAAGAACTTATAAGTTTATGAAAAACTATTTTGCCTATCTAGCCGGATGACAATAACATTCGCAAAAAATAGACTCACAATCAATAAAATTTCAGATTTTTTTGTCGCACTGTAAAACACATATTCTTGAAAAAACAGAGGAAATTAAATTACCGATATGAGTAATAAACCTACACTGATTGAACGCTACCAGGCTCTTGAGTTTTCAGGAAACGAAAAAAAGGTTTCATGTCTGAAATGCTTCACACACGGTATGATATTTTCGAGCAAACAGGTTTTACAAACACATAAACTCATAGCTAGACGTGCATAAAAAAAGCTCAATAAGGTTGACAAAACATTTCAACCTCGTTTTTTTTGGCAAGTTAGATGGTGGTTTTACGTTTTACATTGCTTTATATGGTGGCTCAACATAGTGGCGGGCCAAAAATTTGCCTTGCTCTCCAAATTGCGAATGTTTTGGATCTCTCATATCGCAACGGCGTTGTAAAAACTCATATCGCAACGGCGAGTTGCTGCGCTTTTTGTACACTTTAAGCGTAAATTATTTTTCATGTGATTTTTTTTTTATTTATTCAACGTTAGAGTCGTGATACCTGGGTCTCCTTTGAAGTTATTATAAGCCCATTGTTTTAGAAAACCAGCGGTGTAGATTTCACACAATATTAATTTCAGTAAAAACTGTAAATTTTAATCTTTTTAGAGTTTGAACGTCCTGAATTTTTTTGATCGCACGTGGAGTTCAAGGCTTTAAATTTTTTATATTCATTCATTATGAGTTTATCTGATTTTTAAGTAATTAGGCAGATTTTTTTGAGTTTTTATGTGAACAGCTCGGCTTGAGGTCAATTTTTCCAGTTGGCCCGCTACAGTTTGCTTCATTTTGCTGAAACCAAAAAAAGGGGGGTTGGAAGTGGTTCTTAAATATAAAATCTAGACGCTGGCAGTTTTTATAAATGTTTATTGTGGCTCTATCAGAGGTTTGTCGGCTAAGGGAATAGCTGTAAGCTGTGCTGTCTTCTTATAGATTTCATTGTTTTGCTACTGGCTGTTGGCTGATGCTGATGAGACTGCTGATCTTGCCAATCTTTGCTGTTGCTAATGTGTTGCTGCTGCCGCTATAGTTTTTGTTGATATTCATGTATCTCCGGAAAAATTAAGATTGATGGTTCTCCACCATTTATTGGAGACTGTTTCCCAACTTTCTCTGGTTGTAGTACGTAAGTCCAGTTGTTTTCTGTTTCTTCTATGTGCTGCTGTCCTGATCTTTTTGTTTCGCGGCGAAACGTATGCTTTCAAGTTCGAACATGAAATTGGCTGTGATGCGTGATTTTGTGCATTCTGCCCTGACGTAAACTGAAGGCTGTTGTTTGTTTTTAGTACTTGCTGGCTGCATGATTGCTTTGACCAGCAAATTTTTATATGACGGTGACCTAGGCAAAAGTAAAAAAAAACATTTTCAAAAACTGATGCTTAACATTTTCAGCGACATGCTGGGCAATGAAACTGCTCATCGAAGGGACAAGCGGATTAGATTTTGGCATTCCATTGAGTTTTTGAAGTACCTTGTGACTATTCATTGGTTTATAATCGAGATCTGTTGGCTCATCGAGTTTGTGATGAAACTTAATGTCGATCACTCTTCGCTTAAGTTCTGGTTCATCTGTTGCGGTGACAGGGAACAAAGGTTGTCGCATGCTAATTCAAATTGCCTTCTTGATTATTTGAAGGTTTATTAGTGTAAGTTAGTTGATTTTCTGGGTAGTGCTGTATTACGTCCATAGAAGCAGCTTTTGAATTTCTAGTTTTACGACAGCGGTTCAAACCTAAGGTTGAGTTCACGTCGTCTTTGAACGCAAGCGTCTGTAAAGATTCAACCATGTTGCTGATGATGTTCGAGAGTTCCATGTAAAAATTCCTGCGACGAGTTGATGGTTGCTTAAAGCTCTGTTGTCGAAAGACGTAGTCGATGGTCGGATCGTCTATATCGTCATCTGAGTTCTTAATGAGTAGCGTTATACGCTGTTCTATAGCAAAAACGACCAGGACTAGTTTGGTTAGTTTTTTTGAGTAGTCTGCAGGCTAATCTTTTTTTAGCAAGCGAGATTGGTTGATCAACGGTTTTTTTTCGAGAGTCCAAAGCACATGCTACTTTTCCGTCAATTTTCTTTTCGGAAGTCTAGTCACCAGGCTCTCGTTCGTTCGCGTCTGTCTTTTTTTCGATCTCTGAGAGTCTTTTGCTTGAAGGAATTGCTGTCCTGCAACTGTTCTCGGACTTGCTTTGTAACGTGTTTTGATTTTTCAAGCTGCGATCGGTTTATCAATAAAAAGAGTTCGAAACCTGTTTTAGGGCTTGTTGCTGAGAGTATCGGTTTTTTTGAAAACAGCCATCTACTATAGGCAAAAGTTCTGATTCGGATT